GGGGTGGGCCCGGGGCCGGGCCCGCGCCGGGGGGGTGGCTTTTCCCTGCCCCCCCCCGGGGAGACCCGCAGCGAGCGCCCAGGGGTGGCCCTGGGAGCCCCCGGGGTGGCCACACGCACGGGCGGGCGGGGCACTGCGGGGGAGGAGGTGCACGACGCCGGCCCGAAACTGTGCGGGTCACCACGGGTTTTGCTGAGAGGAAACTCTTGGTTTTAGGGCGTTTGTGCCCGAAAGCGTGCGATTAAGGCCTTTTTTTTTGCAAGGGAAACTTGTGTCGGCGTCGGGTTTTTGTGCCCGAAAGCTTGCGATTAAAGACTGTTTTTTTTTTTTTGTGAGGGAAACCTGTGTTGGTTTTAGGGCATTTGTGTCCAAACGCTTACAATTAAAGACTTTTTTCTGTGAGGAAAACCTGTGTTGATCTAGGGCGTTTGTGCCCAAAAGCGTGCGATTAAAGACTTTTTTTTGTGAGGAAAACCTGTGTTGGTTTTAGGGCGTTTCTGCCCAAACGCTTACAATTAAAGACCATTTTTTTTGCAAGGGAAACCTGTATTGGTTTTGTGGCGTTTGTGCCCGAAAGCGTGCGATTAAAGACTGTGAGGAAAATCTGTATTGGTTTTATGGCGTTTGTGCCCGAAAGCGTGCGATTAAAGACGGGTTTCCCTCACAAAAAAATGGTCTTTAATCGCACCCTAGATCAACACAGGTTTTCCTCACAGAAAAAAGTCTTTAATTGTAAGCGTTTGGACACAAACGCTCTAAAACTAATACAGGTTTCCCTCGCAAAAAAATGGTATTGGTTTTAGGATGTTTGTGCCCGAAAGCTTGTGATTAAAGACTTTTCTTTCAAGGAAAACCTGTATTGGTTTTAGGGTGTTTATGCCCTCAAAAGCTTGCAATTAAAGACATGTTTTTGCGAGGGAAATCTGTATTGCTTTTAGGGTGCTTGTACCCAAAAGCTTGCGATTTAAAGGAAAAAAAAATTTGGTCTAGGGTATTTGTGCCCAAAAGCTTCAATTAAGGAAATGTTTTTGCAAGGGACACTTGTATTAATCTAGGGCGTTTGTGCCTGAAAGCTTGCAATTAAAGATTTTTTTTAATTGTGTGAGTGAAACCTGTGTTGGTCAGGGGATGTTAGTGCCCGAAAGCTTGCAATGAAAGATTTTTTTTTTTTTTTTGCAAAGATCTTGTTGGTCTAATAAAAGAGATCCCCTCCGTCCACGAGCTCCGATAGGACTTGAGTTCAAGGCTTTGTTTCATTAACCATTCTCCTGTCTCTTCCCCCACCCGAAAAAAAAAGCATAGGTGCATTTCTATTATTTCGGTCTCATTTTATGGATGCCAGATCCTTTGGCCTGCTCTGCTGCTCCTGGCCTCTTGTTCTTGTAGAGTAAATGCTAGCATAGAGGGCATTGCACGCTCATTTCTTGGAGGTATCATTGAATCTGGGGTTGTGTGAGCCATCGAGTGTCGTAGGTAAACAGCACGAGGTTTAATTCTCGGGCCTGCGATGCAGAAACGTAATTCGGGTAATCTTCCAAATCTGCGTTACTCCATTTTGCAACCTCAACTGAAGCATTAGGTGAATAGTTCTGTTTTTAACAAAACTCATTATAATTAAGGAGTACTTGTGTAGTAAGGGCCTTTAAAAACTAATCCTCACAGTATTCATGTGAAGTATAAGTTAAATTTAAAAAGTACAGTGGAAACGAGACACATAAGACCCCTTTTTTCCATAACATGGGTCCTAGAGCACGTGGCATCTATCTTTAAACAAAAACCAATTAACTCTAGCTGAGCTGGGGTTCAGCTATAGCAATTTTATTGCTGGTCTACTCATGAGTTAGGTTTTAAAAGGGGAAGGAGAGCTGCTGTAGTAGGGAGTTTGACTCCCCCCTAGGTAAGACCTCTACATGGTCACAAAACATCAGACATGGCAAGTAAAGATGCTGGAATTAGACTAATCCCAGCTAGAGAAACTTGTTGTTCAGGAACAGCCACTTTGGAAATGCGTTAAGCGAAATCAAAAAAGGACACATTTATTTTGGAGTAAAGTGTCCATACATAGAGTTACTCGAAAGTAGCTATTACACTTAAAATATATGCCCTATCTTATTCTGTTACAAAGTTTATGTGCAAATGAGACCCTAATAGTGGTCTCTGCAAATTATTTCATAGACATTAGGGTGGAAGAGACCTCGAGAGATCGAGTCCAGCCCCCTGCCCAAAGGGCAGGAAGTCAGCAGGGGTCATAGGATCCCAGCAAGATAGACAAACTAGAAGGTCTGTTTATCAGTTATATAGTGGATACTTCTGGAATTGACGCGGAGGCTTAGTGCTGTGAAAGCGTGTGTGTGCTGCATGGTTTCAGCAGGGATGACCAAGGTATAGGTCACAGAGCTGTCATCTGGCCTATGGCACTCCCCCTGGGCCTGGAAATTTGACAGTGTGGCAAGTGGTGGCAGCGTTAATTGGCACAGCTCTCAGAGCTGCGGCAGTCGATGCTGCCGCCTTTCATCCCGTCATAGATTTCTGGACCACAGATCTAGAGTGCAGAGCTGCATCAACTGGCCCGTGGGGCTGGAAATTTGGCGGTAGGAGGAACAGCAGCTATTGGGGCTGTGAGAGTCACGGCAATTAACACTGCTGCTGCCAATTCTAGCCCTGTGGGCCACATGAGTTGGGCACCAGTGGACTACAACACGGCTAGGTAATGAAGACTGATTGCTTGTTTTGGGTGTTTTCCACTTGCAGAGCAGCCTGGCTGCTTGTGTTACACCAGGGAGCATTCAGAGTACTTGGCACTTTGTAGGACTGTTATATTTAATGCACCTAAATGTTGATTACTTTTTCCCTTTTCAGATACCTGGTTATTTCTGAAAAACTTGAAGAAATTAAATCTTTCAGAGAACTGACCTGCTTGGATCTTTCCTGCTGCAAACTTGGAGATGAACACGAATTGCTAGAACATCTCACCAAGGAAGCTCTATCCAGGTACCAGTTTAGTAACATATGTACCTAGTGGCAACCTTTGCTTTTCTGGTCACCAGGGAATTCAGAGTCATGCTGCATGTCCTTTAAAAGAAAGTTTCACAGGCAGTAAGATAGAAATTAGTGGGGTTTTTAATTGTTCATAAAAACTGTTTGGCGGGGGAACACCCATCAAAACTAATCGCACGCAAACTATCATTCAGAGCATATATTTAACATTAAAAGTAATTCTGTAGTTTTGTAAGAGTAGAAATAGAAGTATTCTGCTGGCCAACGCATAGACCAAGTGGTTTTATATTTCATTTTCTGTTCATAGCCTTAAGCACTGCAAACCTTAGTGTTTCCAAGTTACAGATTTATCCTATTAAATATTATTTTCCTGGGTGATAAACATTATCAAAATAATGTTAACTATATCAGTAGATAAGCGTGCTATATGCCAGCATGAGATGTTTCTAATTTTTGCACTGTATTTCCTAAAATGATATATAACTACTAAAATTAGAAATTTGTGTAACTTTCTCAGATAAGTTAATCACTTAATTCTGTTTAATTAATAACTTGCTACTTTAAACTTTCACACAAGTTATTCAAGAACTTGTTTGGAGGATGCAATGGAAGTATGCCTCTAGATCTTTGTGGGTTTTATTTTGTTTCTAGCGTGCAGTACCTCCTTTTACGTTTAAGAAGCATCCCCACAATCTTCTACTAGTTTTGTCTTTTCTTATTTGTCAAGCAAAGATTTTTCTTCCCTAATTTTGAATGGAGTTGAAATTGGCAAGACTAGTTATGTTTCATAACTTCAATTTATAGAGAACCTTACGGCCCATGTCAAGAAATCTTTGTGTTCCAATATTGCCTGTGTCAGCAGAACTCTGGAAATAGTGTGCTGGGTAACGGTTTCTGCTGAGCCAGCAATGGGAACATTACACTTGTTAGCCTTACCAAAAGAGGCTTTTTTTGTTCAGTGGTCCTTTTAATATCACTAAAGAAATGACAGATTGATGGGATGATTGGAAAAAAATTCTGAGTTTGTACATTAAAATCTAAGAGTTTTTTCTTAAGAAGTCCTAGGTAATAACTTTCTATTTTTCATCCTAGTGTAACAAGGCTCCTCCTGAAGGATAACTGTTTATCTGATGCAGGCCTTCGCAAAATGACAGCACCAGTACGAGTAATGAAAAGGGGACTTGAAAATCTTTCTGTGCTAGATTTGTCTTGTAAGTGTACCAAAGTGTCTCATGGTTTAAGTATAGAAATTAGCCATGTTTCTTCTGATCTAGTTAACTCCTATTTATGACTGAAAGGATATAATGAAACAAAATGAACCCCTAAATCAGAAGTGGTTAAGCAAGGCCTTTTGTTAACATCTGCTAGAAACCACAGATTGAACCTGCAGTCCCATCCAGATAACATTAAATTAATGGAATTTTACCAGTGAAGTCAGTAGGAGAGTAAGGTTAAATCCCTATCTGATATAAATGCAAGGCTTGAATATCTCTGCAGTCTGGCATGGGACTTGAATTAGCCATTCCTTTTCCTGCTTACATGTATTTTTGAGAGACCTTAACCTTCACTATATGGAAGTGATTTGTCATTGAATTCATAATCTGGGGGCAGTGAAGGATGCCAATATTGAATGAGAATCCCCATGAGGAGATTAGGGTAGGTAGAGAATAGAGGTGGGAAATGTGGATGGGATGAGGAGGAACTACTGGAGGGGCTTGGTTGGAAAGAGAAGCAGAAAGGAAGAAGACTCAGGGGGTCCTTGGGACTGACTGGGCAGGAAGCATCAAGCAGCAAATCTAGAACTTGCTCGGGTTTAGGAGAACACGACTGGGGATAGGAGTGGGTAGAGAGGACAGGGAAACGAGGGGAATGGGCATAAAAGTGTGTCCACTAGAGCCTCCTCCCCACCACAGCCTACACTGGAACCCCAGACACCAGAGTGTCACCTTTCATTTGCTGTCAGATCTGTAAATTCCAGTGACCAAACATCCCACCCTCTGCAGTTCTAGTTCAGGTAGAGGGTGACTGTCTATTGCTGGTATCAGTTCCTCCATTAGCTTGGGCAGCAGAGGTCTATGCAGTGACTGTAAAGGTTCCAGCCAAGTTGATAACTCATGTGAGTGTCAGTGTGATGCCACATGAGGGAATTAAACTTTTTAATCAGTTTGCCTTTTTTAAAACCTTGTAAGTTGCACACAAAAAGCCAGTTAGAAAGCACTTAGTGTCAAGCGCACAAATATTAGAAAATACCAGAATTAAGGCTGCCTGAGCCACCTTAATTTAGCCCCTTAGCCACATGCATTGTGTAGTCTTTAACTGAAGGATCACCTGTTTGTCTCATCAGAGGACAGACCAGTTCTAAGGATGCATTGGGTTTTTATAGTGAAAGGAGGTTTTTATCCGCAGGACCCCACCTTCATTTGTTACAGGGTATATTCAAGAGATTGTTGTGGGGAGGGGAAGGGGCAAAAAGATGGTCTCATGGTTAAGGCACTTGAATGCTGCCCAGGATAGCTGGATTTTATTCCTGCTTCTTCCACATATGATGGCGGGTTAAGTCATTTATACTTATTTTCTTCATAGGAAATGTTTGATTGTGAGTTCTTTATTTTCTTCTCCTGACTTGAGACCTGGAGGTGTGATTTACAGAAATGTTGAGCTCTTTGAGCTGCAACTGAAGTCGGTAGAAGTTTGCTTTAAAGATACGTAATGCTGTAGACTGCTAGGATCCTATTTTTTCAAAAAACGTAATTTACACCCCTAATCTCAAATCAGGCAATCAGAATTACTATGTACTTTTAACTGTAATCGCTGTGATTTTTTTTTAATTTTCTATCTATGAAGGGAATGATTTAGCTTCTCTAGGTGTATGCAACTCACAGGAGTGTTGTGAAAATGTAGTTTTTTTAGCAAATATTCAGTATTCATCAAAAAGTAGTATGTGAGTGTATACACGTGGGGCTGGATTTTAAGGTTTCTCAAGAACATTTATTCTGGTATTTCCTAAATTCTGAGTGCTCGGCTTCACAAATTTAGGAGTATTTTTTTAATACAGTTTCTTTGTAGGATACTTATGTAAACTCTACTTTTTATATTTGTACATACACACATTCAAACTAATTTGACCCAAATTAAGCTGTTTTGAATGAAAATTGTATTTTGATCTGAAGAGAAAAAATAAGTCAGGTTCAAGAAACTTTCAAAACCTGGAGGGTATAAAATGCAATTGGGCCCAAAATCACTTGAACATTGTTTACTGTTGGAATAACTGGCTGGTTACCTATGATGTGTGTCTTTTCCCAGACCCGCATCTGATTGTTTTAAGAATCTGTTTTGAAGAACAAATTTCTACTATCATGCAATTTAGCATGATAATCTGTTTGTTTTCTTTATAGGTAACCCTAAAATCACTGATGTAGGAATTGGATATCTTCTTTCCTTCAGGAAGTTAAATTGCTTGGACATATCTGGAACAGGTCTCAAGGTAAAACCAAGCTTGTACTTGAGTCCATTACAAATATATGATTAAGTACTCCTCTACACAGTCTGCTTGTTTCTATTTTTACTAGGACGTTAAGGCAGTTGTTCAGAGGATCCAGGTACAGCTGGGCCTTGTCCATTCAAAAGTACCACTGAAAGAATTTGATCATAGTACCTGCAAAACAGAGGGATGGGCAGAGCAGGTATGTTGTTTATTAGTTTGTCAGCCAAAATAACTGTGCACTTACTTCACTCACAAGCTGCTTCACATCTCTCAGAGAGGTCTTGATTGTCATCTAGCGTGTACTTGTGAGAACACAGATGTTGTGAACTGCATAAAGAATATGTTTTGCAGTCTTACATGCCAGAAGTAGCCTCCCAAAGACTGCACTCCAGATTCCTGGGAACCTAGACCAGGAATTTATTTTACATAATAAATCAGATTGCAGCTTTTCTCAATTTCATAATAATGAACTCGGGTATATGTCCGGCTCATGTCTGAGCTATGCAGAGTTTACCAAATAAGTTTCCTCTTCCTAACTGTCCATAGGGCCAAATACAGTGGACACCTATTAGGCTGAGCTCCATAAAAAACCTCATGTAGACAGGCAGTGGTGACCCCTCTTAACCAGCATCCAAGTGGTTAAAATGCTCATCTTGGATATCGGAGACTGAGTAGAAGGCTTTTCTTTGTCTGAGGAGATTTGAAATTATTTTTCTCAGTTGTAGTTCTGTGCCCAGCTTCTAAACTGTTCTCCACTTCGGACCACTTCCATTTAAAATTACAATTTAGGACCCGTTTCTGCTCTCCTTTTCTAGTGTATAAGGAGGATCTGTATAATGGGGTACATCTCAAGTGCACACTAGCTGTGCCAGCACCGAGCTTCACTTGGACTAACTTACACCATACTTCTTGGCATGGAGTTTCATGCTGGTGTCAGTAGGTGCTTCTGGTACCTGAGCTAGCTTGGAGATCTCTGCATCACTTTGCAGAGTGCAGTGTAGACTCTTACTGAATGTGTGACAGCTAGATTTGTTTCCTGCTTCTTTTGCTTCATATCAAACAGGGATTCTGTTGCAGTAAGGCAGTATTCAGAAGAACCGTGAAATGTTAGCAATGTAGACAAAATATTCCACTTAAAAGGATTTACAGAAAAACGAGTTGTTGCTGTAAAAGTTGCTTGAGTTTGGTATTTAGTCATTGAAAAAGTAAAAAAAAAACAAACAAACAAGGGGTTGAAGTTTTGCTGATGCGCTTGGCTGCCTTTCTATACATTTCTTGTAAGAAGCATTTTAATCATCCTTCTTTTCTTTCAGACCATTTTGCAGTGGGAACAGTTGGTCATGGAAGCCATTAAGCCGAAAAAAAACTTGCAGTGCAGAAGAGCAGCTAGACATTTCTGTATGTAACTTTGTGAAACCCTGCAGATACAGATACTATTCAAAGCCTGTTAAAACCAATGGAAACAAACTGAAGTGTGTATTAAGATAAGCTTGTTTGCTAACTGAACCAAAAAAATTGCAAAATCCTTACAGTATGAAATTTTGTTTAAGTGAATTTAAAAATGGAAATGTTTAAAAAATGTTGGAGATTTCTTTCCCTTCGTGAATGAAAGCAATTCAAATTCAACATGAATTCTCAAATTGTTTGGGTTGAGGTACACATGTAACTTTTAGCAGATTTTTGCCTGGCTTTAAATGCATGTGTATTGTTTTTTCTTCTAGATGGAAAGAGATGCAGAATAGAAGAACAAGTCACATGCACGTTGGTGGAGGTGGAAACAAAAGCAACTGGAAACCTGCAGTTCTATAAGGAGAAAACACAAAACTGCCATGCCCCTTTGTTGAAAAAGGAGGCTGCAGTTAGCCATGAATTGAAGAAAAATAAAAAGAGAGTTTTGGCTGAACAAGAGACAGAACGGACCTCAAAGCACATGTGCCTCACCATGGAAGACTGGGACTTGCTGAATAGCTATTGATTCAGAAAAGAATTTATTCCTTGACTGTTATATCAAACTGGATTTTCACATGGAGAAAGGAGACTGACCTTATCCAGATGATCTGCTCACGATGGCATGGCAGCAAATTAATTTCTGCCCACGGTACAGTAGGGAAGCGCCAGAGTGATGGAGGAGGGACAATGGGAATTCTAATGTATATTTTCAATACATAATAATTTTTCAAATAAATATGTTGTTGTCATCCTTAAATAGTGCTGGAGACATGGATAATACCTAGAAGGAATTCATCGGCACTGCTATCTAAACTGCCTGAGCACCTCAGTAGCAGATGACTAGTCATCTCCGCTGCCTCTGTTCTTCCCTTTAGCAATCTGGCAACTGTAGTAACAGCAGTTGAAACTGAAATTGGCTTTAGGTGAGAGAGACTAGTTTGCTTGGTCCTGCTGCTGATGTGGTGTCACACAACAGAGCCTGAATTCATCAGCATGATAGTAGTGGTGACTGATTTGTATATTTAAAATGCCTCATGACTTGTCACAGTGCTATATAAATACTCCAAATCTTGTTATTTTAGTAGTGGTACTTAAATCTCAATTGTACACTTGTATCTAAAGTGTTCTGAAGGAACTCAATAGCAAAGAGAGGATGAAACTAGAATAGCTGATGATAGGAATGAGAGGCATGCTCCTGGCGCGCGCACACTTCATGGCATGATGGGATCTGTTCCCTGATCCCATGGTAGGATGCATGATTTTGGGATTGGGCTCCAATCCCAGTCATACCATTAGTACTTGCCAGCACAGGGGGAGCCCAGTAAACCAGTGCAGTCCCAGGGTTAGGACTGATGATCAGCTGATTGTGGGTCCAAGCTGGGTCCAGTACAAGAACCCTGCCATACAGCCTGATGCAGTAAGCTGGCCACACCTTCAACTAAAGGCATGATAGAAACCACCCACAAAACTACTACACATTTTATGGAATAATTTTGTGGCTTATTCCCTATTTTAATACCCTTAACTGCATGGTTGTGCAGCTGGGTTACTACTGAACTGGTTAATCATGTCTGCTAGGGGCCATAAAAAATAGCAATCACTAAGTATCAGCTATTTCAGAATTATAACAAAAATGCAATATCTTTTATTAAAATATTACTTAAACTTTCTAAATGAAAAGTTGAAATATGGGAGAGAGATGGCAAGTTAGCTAGTCTCAAGATTAAACTTTAACTCTAAAATTGTAACTGCTGAAAAGCAGAATTAATGGCCATTATAAACCAATTACATTTTCCTCTTCTCAACCTTTTGTGGTTTGCAACATGTTTAAGCATGTATGCCGCTGGATATAGATGAGTAGTGTTTATCCCAGTCTAAAAATGGCTTTATTGGGAAGCGTTTGTGTGGTATTGATAGATACTATTCAAAACTACACCCACAGTTCTGGTATGTAGAGTATCTAGAAGGGTTCTAAATTATTATACTACCTAAATCCAGGAAAATATAATTCTCGATGTCTTGAGGCTTGCTGGTCATAGAAATACTGAGACCAAGAATTTCAAAAGCAATTTAATTCTGGGTGCTCCAGTTTTGGAGCAAAATTTTGCATCTAGAATCCTCAATCACCTTTGAAACTTGTGACCTGAATATCTTATTTCTTGTACTAGCACTCAGCTGTAAGAGGTCAGAAAAGATATCAGTTTGACTCGGTGCAAGCCAAACTAATTCCTGTGTTTTGAACTATGGGTATTTGGTGTCTGACTGTTGAGGACTTTGTCTTAATTAACTATTTTGGTATGGTAACTGCTAATGGAATTAAGAGGAGGTTGGTTAGTTGAGTTCTCAATACAAGTAGAAAGTAATCCTTTCATACACCACTGTATTCTTACGAAAACTCTGAAACCAAAATTCATCCTTATGAGACAGATCTGTGCTGTGCAGTCAAAGAGCACTGTTTGCAAGTAATGCCAATAATAAACCTGTCTCTACAGACAAGCCGGCAGGGTAGATGTACACTTCTGTAGGCTAGCTAATTAGCACCAGCTTTCATAAACCCGTATCCAGTCATCAACTTCTGATGAAGTGAATGTGGGTTCATGAAAGCTTGTGCTCTCCATCTGATCTTGTTAGTCTATAAAGGTGCATATCTCCCCTGCCTTCAGACTAACATGCTTAACTACCTGTCTCTACACATAAGGCCATCAATGTTTGCAGAACTTTCCTCAGTAATACTATGTTCACTCTTGTTTTACAAAAGCTACAAAAAGCATGTTTCTAACAGTGCACAATTCCTTAGATGTTTGATGATAATATATATGGCCATTTCAGAGGCCAAACCTGTGTAGTAATCATCCTGCATGGGTTTCTGGTGTTTCTTCAGGAAGCTAGGTCAATACAGGCTGTATGCCAACATGAGCTGAATTCCAACCATCCCCTCCAGTCTATTACTCTGTTAGCCTTAATCATGTGCTTCCTTAAGACTTACAGTATGCTCACAAAAATTAAGCTGCTAACGAGGAAATGCTTACAGGAGAGTCACCTTGATACATACACACACACACACACACCCCACCCTGGTGTTATGACCAAACCTATTAATTTATTTATTTGCTAATATGTAGATGCCACCTTGTTTAATCCCGCTCCTTTCCTTCTCCATTGAAGTGTCCTTTCCTGCTCCATTAGTACCCCTAATTTTGCACCATGTTTACAAGGACAGACCTGTTTTCTGTTTGTCCTACGAAATCTCAAGACCTCTCCTTGGCTTAATACGAGGAACACAAAGCCAGATGATCATGATTAAATAAACCAAAAATTTCTCTGAGAATCTGGCCTCAGCTTCACTGAAGGGTGAAACTGTGGCAACTTGATGATTTTGACTTGGAAAATATGACCAGCGTGTATTCCAAACACCGCTAATCGGCCTTCAGTATTTAAACAGCTATGAACCTCTGTTTAATGTTTTAATCTTGGTCTAGAACTCTAAAGCAGCAAATATTTATTTTATAAAACTGCATGCATACTTCTCTGCTATATAAGCACTAAATACATGGCGGGGTTTTGACATAGAAGCTATTCCTCTAAGCTTGATTTTAAATATTTGCAAGGACAGGTTATCAAATATACCTTAAAGGTTGCTATAGCATCAGTTCCATTACACAAGATTTTCCTGTCTCATTCTAAATAAAAGTATGAGTCAGTAAAGTTCTTTAAAGAAAATCTCAAAGACCTATAGCTGTATCCCAGTTACAGATAGCAATAAACATTCACAGCTTATACAAGGCATGTAGAAGTTTTAGACAGGACACAGAGGAAATGAACAGGCTGAATTTTGTTTTTAAAGATTAGGACTTGGAGGGCAGGGATGGGGAGGAAAGGAAGGTGGAAATAGTGCCTGATGCCTACTTCTGGTTTAGAAGAGTAGATGTATTTCTCATAAAACTATTTGTTTCAAGCATAAAGTCCCTAGCTACAAATACACTGGAAGAGATGTGTGATATCTTAAATTTCAATGGCAAATATGTCCAAAACCCCCAAAGTGCTTCAGGAATCTCAGCCACTGACTGCAATGACCATTTCACTGCCGTGTGGATCACAAATGGATCTGCTGTCGTGTAACATCTATACTGGGAACTCGGGTCCATTTCCCAACATACTGCTTTCAGACTTTTTTTTTCTTCCTTATTTCATCATTTCGATGTACAAACCATGTGGTAGCAGCCTAATCCCGCCTGTCCTTAGAGCGGTAAGATCTTGAGAGTTAAAACAGGCCGTAACCAGAAACATATTTTATCACGTAGTTTGCAGCTGCACTAACAATTTATAGGAAAAAAAAGGTTTTTTCTCCCACCATTTTCTCTACCTGGGCAACCTTGCTTCAGTTCACCCTTTCATTCCTGCCTCTATTGTGGCATTTATGATTAACTGAGCATCACCATAAAAAAAACCCCCCCAGCAGAGACAGTCCTTGCCTTCCAAATCAGACAATCTAGGCTGACCCAACTGAAGGAGCATTGTGGAGAGATTAATACAAAGCTACTTTGTTATATCAATGCTAACAGGCTTTGCAGACAGAATGGGTGTGAATTTGGGTTTCTCCCCCTTGCCAGTTCTCCCTGTTTTACATTGTAGCTACATTGCAGCATTCTGCTGGGTCGCCCTAGCTATTTGGTTAATTAGACCTTTTACTGCCAACAAGGTGTTATAGGATGGATGCTCAAAGCTCAATGACCAGCCTGCACAAGTTCAGGGCTTCCACTGCTTCACTCAACTCTAACGTATATTTGTCTACTCAGTTCACATGTGGGGGTGACCCCTGACTTAGCTTTATCCTCTCCAGCTGGCACAACTACCACCAGTTTTTTTCAGTGCAGGTTGAGAGACTACAGCCAAAGGTGCGCCTCACACACAGATGTCTCCAGGTACCATTTAAGGCCATGGTTCTCAACATTTTTAAGGCTCCAGCACCCCCTCTACCAAGTTTTTTAATGTAGTGGCACCCCTGGTTGAGAACCACTGCTGGTGCTGCCAGTGCTTCTCAACCAGGAATTGGAAATGTTGACTCTGGGTCAGAATCTCTTCCCTGTGTTGGGTGTCTATTTGTGATTCTGCACCACCCTGCTCAAGTTCTGGAAATCCATTAATGCAAGGGTGCCCAACCTTTTTGCCCTGCAGGATGGATCCGGCCAGAGGGGTTGATCTGGCACATGGGGCTGGCAGGGCAGGGGCCTGATCCAGACATGCCAGGGGAGGGGGAGGGAGAGGTGGGGTGGGGGAGGGAGCAACCTGGCCCCAACTGGGGGACATGGGGAGGGATGCAACAGCCCTCATCCAGATGTGCAAGGCTGAGAGAGGAGCAGGGGGCAGCGTGGCCCAAGCTGAATGTGTGGGGGTCAGACCCAGCCTTGATCCTGCTGCACAGCAGTGATCCAGGCAGGGCTGGACCTGGCCACACAGAGATTTTACCTCTCCCTCCCGACAAATTTTTGACCCATGGGCCAAATGCCATGGCTCCTTGGGCATAATTTGGCACATGGCCCAGAGGTTGAGCACCCCTGCGTTAATGCATCATTTTTTGCAACATACCATCATCTGACCCTGAAGGACGAGTCATCAAAAAGCAGTGAGTAGAGGGAGAGGGTTCACCTATCTTTTGCATAATCTGTTTTTCTAGAGCTCAAGGAGGTGGAATAGACTCTCACTTAGGCCCCTAATTCCAAGTATTTCCTAATAAGTGAAAAAGAATCTGGCCCATATGATTTTTATTTTTTTTATACGGACAGAGAAGAGGATTTACAACCGGGTTTTGTTTAGCTTGGAGTTACAAAAAAAACCCCAAGGGAACTTCTTTTCCCTTCTGCCAACACATTGGTGATTAATGAGCAACCATGGCAGTTATCAAAATGAAAGCCAGTCAGAGACCACTTACTGGTCTTCATTACTGTTTGAATTGACAATACATTGGCATTTGTCAGATATGTCCTAGGAAAGAAAGGAAAGTGCTGGCACCCACACCCACTGTGATTTCCCACTTCTCCCTGCAAGCTTGCAAACACATTTTGCAATCACAGCTTCATGCCTAGATAGCATGATGCATCTTCAAAGCCCTCTACAGTCAGTGAAGACTAATCAACCCTCACCACACCCAGGGTGTTTAGAGCAGTAAGATCCTCAGCTGGGGCAACAGAGAAAGACAGATGCACGTGACCTGTCCAGGACCACAGAGTGGATCAGTAACACATGGGATTAGCATCCAGCAGTTCTCATCCCCCAGTCCTTTGGTCGGCCTGCTGAGCTACCATGCTTTCCCCCTTCCAGCGCTGCGGTGTGGCGAGCAGAGAACCACCGGGTCCCGTTGTTCTTGGACAACAACTTCAAATGAGGGTGGAGGAGACTAAAAGGCAGCAGTGCAGAACGTGCCCAGTGATGCATGGCTACTTCTTGGCATGGGCATCTCACCTCATGCAGATGTACTCATCAGACCAACTCGTGCAGTGCTGTACTCCGTCTCGGCAGAAGCTCCTGGGAACACAGGTGCAGTACTCGTAGAACACCGGCGTGCAGCTCCACCACTGGGGCCCGCAAGGAGGGCAGCCAGCCACTTAAGGACAGAAAAGAGGGAACATGGATACCTCTGCTTCCCTGCCAAGTGACATTTTGGCAGGGCTTAACCCTGATACAGCTAACTATTCTCCTGCCAGGCTGCTAGTTTGGACAGAGCTCAAGTTGGCAGTGACTAAAGGCTGTTGGCAGCAAGCATCTACCTACATGATATGGTATTTGGTGGTCATGTTCCAGTCCCCACTGAACAGATGTCAGTATAACTTATCACCTCCTTATCTGGGACAGAAGCTGACAGCCACAACAAGAGAGGGACAATGAATTTAGTGGGTTGTGGACTAATGTTGCCTGCTAGAGGGTGGTGTCCTACATCAAGGTTGGGGTACCTTTGTTGGACAGGAAGTTTGCATGGGTTCTACTTGTTTTCTAGCTGGGGGGGGTGTAGTTTTTGAGGTGATCTATTCAGTAACATGCGAACCACCATTCAAGTTGGCAGAAAGGGTGTTTTGTCAATTGTTAGCCAAAGGGCGACTTACAGGTCCCCATCTCGTCAGAGCAGTCTCCACAGTCATTGAATCCATTACACCTCTTATCAGCATAGATCCAGTAGCTAGGATAGCTGCAGCGGAATATCAAATATCCTGGAAGGCTATTGGGTAAATCACCTATTGGGAGAGACAGACACCTAGAGATACTGAAATGCTCTCACTTCACTCAAAAAGTAGATATCAGGACAAGAAAGCAATTGTTAACAATAGTATTTTACACTCCCAATCCTCTGTCCAGCTAAGGATCTCAGTGCACTCAGAAAGTATTAATTAAGGCTGATAACAAAGCTGAGAGGCGGAGGGAAGCACCAGCCGGTTTTGAGGGAAATGCGGGCACAGAGAGGGTTACGTGTTTTGCTCAAAGGAAGCTTCCAACAGAGCCAGGAACAAAACCACGATGTCCCTTGTTCTGTTCTTTGGCAGATCCATCTGTTTCCTTGTCAGTTGGACCATAAATCAAACCCAGATCTCTCACATGCTCCTAAAGTACTCTGTCACAACGTCTGTTTAATTCTATGTTCAGTAAGCCGATCAAACAATAGTCTCAGGCTTAAGGAATATAAGTGGGTATCAAGGGACCTGGATTCTTCTCTATCTGGATCTCCAGTCTCCCTGTGTAGTGTTGGAAAAAACAGCGTCTCTGCTCCCAGCTTACAAAGACCATTCAGCTTCCCGCAGCTACAGCATGGAGCCTGAAGTAAGGGGGAAGTGAAAGCTCAGAGGGTAAGCGAGGAGCAGGCCCACGGCTGGACAGACAGTCACTGGGAGGAGATGTAAACTGCTTACTGCACAATGTCTCCTGTTCGTCCTCTCCGTTAGCACACTCTCCGATTCGGTTGCAGACCTGATGGGCTGGAATGCAACTCTCTCTGTCATCACACAAGAAGCCAGTACGATTATTGGAGGTCACACAGAAACGGTTCACTGTGGGGAAAACAGGAAATAAATGAGTTGAGCTAGTGCTGGATCCTGTGTCCAAGCAGGCTCTACAATAGAGATCCACACATACCCCACTGGGATCGTGTCACCCAAAGCAATGGAGATTTGCTACCATCCTATTAAGTATTAAGGACAAGCGTGTGTTCAACCTTAGCACTCTCAACCGAGAGACTGTAAATTCATCTCCAGAATCTCTGCTTCTCTTCCCCTCTCCTGTCTACTGGTTTCAAACGACATCTGTGTCCAGCTGGTTGAAAATACAGCAGCAATTTTTCTCTGAGGATTTATTACCTTGCTTAGACCAAAATAACCCTGGAAGACTGACCTGGCGTACGTGGTGGGATTCCAAATGTGACAGCCAAACCGATGATAGCAGCGATAATGCCAAGCACAAACAGTGCGACAGCAGACACACAGACACACCTTCGAGTACACCTTAGCCATGCAGTGCATTCCTTGCAGCAATCTGTTACGATACAAGGAAAAAAAGTGTCAGCACGTACCAACCTGAAAGCAAGGGGCAGAGGCAGCCTGACCCTGAAAACTGCTGTTTACTCAAAACACAAAGCAAAAGCCCCGAGTTTATTCAAACCACTCCCAAGTTTCTTTAGCAAATTATTTCTGCGATGCTCATTCGCCTAGTGGAAACGGTTGAAAATCCAAATGTCGGCTGTGGTGGTTAGTTTCATAAATCACACGAGATCCTTTTTGTTACGTGCCTGGGTGCTTCTATGGAGCTAAACAAAACAGAAGGACGCAGTAGTGGGTGTAATCCAGGATTCACACCGTTGGGTCCTCATGAAACGTTCTTTCAGGGACTCTCTAGCTGTTGATCTGAAGCTCGGCTTTTTGCAAATTCTGGTATCTATGATTTATTGCAGGAGTACCTAGGAATCCCAGCTCATGGACCACCTACTGTACAAACATACAACAGTATAGTCCCTGTTGCAAGCAGCTTACTGGGCCAATGAAACTCATCCCAAAAGCACTGCTGGCAAGGGAACCAAAAGGAGCAAGCACCCAGAGATGGCAAATTCATGCAAAAATCCATTGGAGCAAGTCCTCAAAATCTTTCTGCAGAACTTGCTCAGCCCTATGTATTATAAACCATGACACATCTATTGGCATACCAGGCTATGGCAGGGCTGTAAAATTCATCCCTCTCGTGGGCTGGATGAGTGGTGTAGGACTAGTCCCATGGGCCAGATTGGGCCCACACACTCCCCCAATCCCCGCATGCTGGTTACAGCACCTGCGCTGCATGCGGCTTACATCCTGGACTAGTCACGCTGGGTGCTGAATGGGTGCTCTCATGCCAAGACCCAGAGCCAACACTGGGGTGCCAGCTGATGGGACTGCATGGGCTGGATCCAGCTCATAGACTGTATCTTTGACATCCCTGGGTTATGGTAATGGCTGGGGCCGTAAGAAAACACGCAGAGAAAATGCTGCAAAGCAATACCATCAGTGCCAACAAGGCCACAGTCCATTGAAACAGTCATACCGTTGACTGAAAGAATCAGTGTAACATCACTGAATGTAGTCACCCTACCACGAGCTGCAAGACATTTTCACTCTCGCAAAAGACTCAGCTCAAAGTACTTTATGAAAAGGATGGTCACTACAATCAAGTAATTTAAACAGTGAAACAACTCACTTTACAAAGGCACGAGGCAGTTAAATAACAGGAGGAAGCCAGCAGTAAGACTAAGAATACAGAAACTCTCACTGACTTCAATGGGCAACATTCAGCTTAAGACTCCAGGCAACCAGTCCCCTGTTTATAAAACCATTGACAGCAGGGTACACTCTGCTATAAGGATTATTGATACTACTTCAAAACCGTGATGATTTATTGCAAAATAAAAGATCTCCACAAGGACTATTTCTGTTCTCAGACAGAATGGAAGAAATACCCTGAAAAATCTATTCTATTCTCAGACAGAATAGAAGAAATACCCCGAAAAATCTTCAAGTTGAAATTAGATTAAAAAATAAGGCAAAAATCGGGGAAATTAAATGCTAAAACTGTTACTACTACTGTATGTTAAAGTTGAACTGTGATGTGCTCGCAAGTCAGGAAATATGAAAAAGAAAGCGGCAGATACAGCCTTAATACTGCTCCCATGTATGTTTGTACTAGGTCTTTAAATTTAGGCTCACATTTCCTTAGATTCAACCGTATTTCTAAAGTAAGAGGAAAACTGAACCATACTTGCGAAATGGTGTGTCACTACATAATTAAAGTCTCCAAATTGGTCCTGTAATTAAAGAGTTAGGAGCTGCAAGCTCCTCTTGAACACTGGTAGTTCTGGACTTGCATAATGAACTGTAAAAACCTGCGTGCAGTACTCACAATATTTAGTTCAGTTATTACTTGTGTCTGGGGCTGTACAAAACAATTTGGAAAAACAGAGTCCTTGCCACGCCGATGAATGACTTTGACCACATTTGGGACGTACAAAATCCTCATATGTATAGAAAAGTAAGCATACCATATTTCAGCTTCACAGGCAAACTGATCAGAAAAGAGAGCATGAGAAAACAGAACACGTACAGTTATAACAAGAAAGCTGTCTTTGAACCTGAATTATAGAGATTGCAGCCAATGCCACTGCCGTAGAGTCAACACCAGTAATAAAGTGTCACCGTGCCTTGATGTTCAAATATTTACTGCTGAATTTTATTGAGTTTCAACATTTTATTTTGATGTGGACAGTCATTCTGCTGCAGTTTGAGGAGGCCCAACCAGGACAGAGTGCAGGTTATTCACAACACGTGAAGAACTTAAAGTCTGGATAGTCACTGAGTCTTTCTTAATGAAAAGGTTTTCTGTTGTTACACAGAGATATTAGATACAAATTATACACTACACACATTGCCATCTTCATACCAGCAACAGCAATTTATGCCCTTAAATCTATGTTCAGAACATTTCCCCTAGCACGAATGACAGAAAAGCCACAAAAGTAGTAAAACCTTCTTTGTGTTCACCACTATGTGGAAAAGAATGGAAACCCTGGACATTTTTTAACAGACCTTTCAATGATGCACTTTTTGCCAATTACCTCTTTCTTCAGAGAAGAGTTTTCTTGAATCAGAAGGGATTCCATCAAAAAATCTCTAAAAACAACAAAAAAAACAAACCCAGTGCTTAAAGAGCAGTGCTTTAAAAGTAATAGCACATTATTCGGGTGCTTATATATCACTTTACATGAGAATCTCTCATACACCATATTATCAACTTTAGAGGCAAAAAGATCAGTTTGAACTTAAAATGTGTAAAACATGCCAGAGGCAAGGAGCTCTTAGAGTGCTCTCTTTTATTAAGAAATCTTTGCCTTTTGCATAATTTCTGGATCGCAGCTACAACATCACTCTTGCGCTAGTAAAATATTTAATTAACAACATGATTGCCAAGCTGTCTTTTTAGTCTCATCCCCCCATTGGTAAAATTGATACTCATAAAACTCCAGCCTTACATTAAGCTGAGTATTTGTCTTGAGGTTTAATTGCATTTTGCTTTTAAACTACTAGCTGTGTTACAGAAGCCTGCAATAGACAGACCAAAGAGCAGAAGACGCTGTTTAACAATTTCCAAGCTATTTTTCTCAAGGGAGGAAAGTTACCTGAGGATAAGTTTTGTTCATAGTTCACATACAGCCACGGGGAGTTTTGTGTTTCCTTAGCCCGAGTGGTAAAGCTCTTGGGAGCTGTTTTCGGTGCAGAGTTCAGCCATACCACAGGCAGGGCGAGTCCTGTTCAGGTCCTGCTGTTTTCATATGAGCTGACACCCTTCAAAGCACGCTCGGTGCGTTACCTGGTTACTAAGAGAAACAGAGGAATGAATGAATGGAAGAGTCAAGCTAATCCCTGGCCATACAGATAAAGGAACAATAGCAAAAGAAGGAGCATCAGCCTTTCCCCAGGCTCAGGGCTCAAGCAGTCACATCCTGGTCCCTAGCGGACACATTGGCAAACACCACATTAGCTGAACTGAGCAATGCTGCCCTTCGAGCTTGGCTGGAAAGGATGCTCCAAGCCAGGACAGAGACAATTCTGCAGTATTACATTGCAAGCGCTAACTAGCACAGGTGCCTCTTGTAACTGTCCCGCAGTCCTTGGATGGGGCGTCCAGAACTACTTGCCATTGACCTAATTCTTCCCCCATTGAAGCCTGTGTAGACCTGCCCCCAACTGGGCTGGGAGCAGGGTAAGGCAAGGGAGCACGCTGGTAAAACCCATCCTTCCTGTCTGGGTGCTCTGCATCTATCATTTCCTGTCTGTCTGTCTGTCTGTCACTAAGGGATGAGTATCGGGGGGAGGAAAAACTTCCAAGAGCTTGACGAAGACCTTGGCTAGAAGGACAAAGCCACAATACACAAGCCCAGGGCTACAAGGGAAATTAGAGACAGGGCAAGGTGCATGCGGGCAAGTGGGATGGGCAGCGAAAAAAAGAAACAAAACGTGCTCTACCAATATAAAGCCATTTCTAGAAACAGTGTAGGCCACTGACCAAAGCATGCAGCAGGGGCTCAAGAGCAATCATTTCTACTTCTGGCTCTCACACCAACCCCTTCTATGGCACTGGGAGACTTGTTGCAGACATGTTGAGTACTCCTACCTTCTCCAGATTTAAGTCCCAGGGTGGGGGCTTTAGGCAGAGGACAGGGGGCATCCCATACATCTCAAAACCAGGGTCTGAGCAGGAGTTGACGTTTCCCCTTTTCACACTCCCTTGGCATAGGGGCAGAGCCAAAAGAGGTGGCCAATGGTCTCGCTCTTATCTTGGTAGCTTACCCTGGGGCCAGCAGGGTCAAGTCTCTCATCTCACTCTGTGCCTCCACACCTTCACTGGGTGCACGCCGCGAGCTATGAGCCAGTTCAAGTCTCTGTAGTCTTTTCTTAGGTCTTTGGGAAAGATCCGGTCCCAGACGGCCTGGCAGTCCTCACCAGGGAGCAGCTCCATGGTCGATAGCCCATCTCTGTCTCTGACTGCCTTTTCTTTGTGTTCACCACTATGTGGAAAAGAATGGAAACCCTGGACATTTTTTAACAGACCTTTCAATGATGCACTTTTTGCCAATTACCTCTTTCTTCAGAGAAGAGTTTTCTTGAATCAGAAGGGATTCCATCAAAAAATCTCTAAAAACAACAAAAAAAACAAACCCAGTGCTTAAAGAGCAGTGCTTTAAAAGTAATAGCACATTATTCGGGTGCTTATATATCACTTTACATGAGAATCTCTCATACACCATATTATCAACTTTAGAGGCAAAAAGATCAGTTTGAACTTAAAATGTGTAAAACATGCCAGAGGAAAGGAGCTCTTCTAGTGCTCTCTTTTATTAAGAAATCTTTGCCTTTTGCATAATTTCTGGATCGCAGCTACAACATCACTCTTGCGCTAGTAAAATATTTAATTAACAACATGATTGCCAAGCTGTCTTTTTAGTCTCATCCCCCCATTGGTAAAATTGATACTCATAAAACTCCAGCCTTACATTAAGCTGAGTATTTGTCTTGAGGTTTAATTGCATTTTGCTTTTAAACTACTAGCTGTGTTACAGAAGCCTGCAATAGACAGACCAAAGAGCAGAAGACGCTGTTTAACAATTTCCAAGCTATTTTTCTCAAGGGAGGAAAGTTACCTGAGGATAAGTTTTGTTCATAGTTCACATACAGCCACGGGGAGTTTTGTGTTTCCTTAGCCCGAGTGGTAAAGCTCTTGGGAGCTGTTTTCGGTGCAGAGTTCAGCCATACCACAGGCAGGGCGAGTCCTGTTCAGGTCCTGCTGTTTTCATATGAGCTGACACCCTTCAAAGCACGCTCGGTGCGTTACCTGGTTACTAAGAGAAACAGAGGAATGAATGAATGGAAGAGTCAAGCTAATCCCTGGCCATACAGATAAAGGAACAATAGCAAAAGAAGGAGCATCAGCCTTTCCCCAGGCTCAGGGCTCAAGCAGTCACATCCTGGTCCCTAGCGGACACATTGGCAAACACCACATTAGCTGAACTGAGCAATGCTGCCCTTCGAGCTTGGCTGGAAAGGATGCTCCAAGCCAGGACAGAGACAATTCTGCAGTATTACATTGCAAGCGCTAACTAGCACAGGTGCCTCTTGTAACTGTCCCGCAGTCCTTGGATGGGGCGTCCAGAACTACTTGCCATTGACCTAATTCTTCCCCCATTGAAGCCTGTGTAGACCTGCCCCCAACTGGGCTGGGAGCAGGGTAAGGCAAGGGAGCACGCTGGTAAAACCCATCCTTCCTGTCTGGGTGCTCTGCATCTATCATTTCCTGTCTGTCTGTCTGTCTGTCACTAAGGGATGAGTATCGGGGGGAGGAAAAACTTCCAAGAGCTTGACGAAGACCTTGGCTAGAAGGACAAAGCCACAATACACAAGCCCAGGGCTACAAGGGAAATTAGAGACAGGGCAAGGTGCATGCGGGCAAGTGGGATGGGCAGCGAAAAAAAGAAACAAAACGTGCTCTACCAATATAAAGCCATTTCTAGAAACAGTGTAGGCCACTGACCAAAGCATGCAGCAGGGGCTCAAGAGCAATCATTTCTACTTCTGGCTCTCACACCAACCCCTTCTATGGCACTGGGAGACTTGTTGCAGACATGTTGAGTACTCCTACCTTCTCCAGATTTAAGTCCCAGGGTGGGGGCTTTAGGCAGAGGACAGGGGGCATCCCATACATCTCAAAACCAGGGTCTGAGCAGGAGTTGACGTTTCCCCTTTTCACACTCCCTTGGCATAGGGGCAGAGCCAAAAGAGGTGGCCAATGGTCTCGCTCTTATCTTGGTAGCTTACCCTGGGGCCAGCAGGGTCAAGTCTCTCATCTCACTCTGTGCCTCCACACCTTCACTGGGTGCACGCCGCGAGCTATGAGCCAGTTCAAGTCTCTGTAGTCTTTTCTTAGGTCTTTGGGAAAGATCCGGTCCCAGACGGCCTGGCAGTCCTCACCAGGGAGCAGCTCCATGGTCGATAGCCCATCTCTGTCTCTGACTGCCTTCTGTATCTTCCTGTGGTTGGACATAGTCTCTGGGCTTTCCTTCTGTAGCCCATCCTCGCTCCAGCACTCCTTCATTGCCGTGTAAAACCAGGGGTGCTCCATGGTGCACCATCTCCCCTTGGCTGGAGCGTACACCTCCCACAGTCTCAGGAGGTGACCAGTAAAAACTTGACTAAACAGGCTGTTTTGGATGCTGGCCCAGTCGCCAGCTTGCAGATCTGGCTCTTGTACCATGCCTGCAGGAACAGGTGGCTGTCTCGCATCCCCCTGCCCCTGGCACATTTCTTCTTGTACAGGGTCTTCCTCGACACCTTCTCCATTCTGGATCCCCAGAAGATGCTCATGGCTCTCTGGATTCTGTGGGTGACACAGTTGGGTGGGGGGGTAAGACCAGTGCGGTGTACAGAAGCACTGGTAGCAACATCGCCTTCATGAGTGCCATGAGTCCTGTCCCCCCCCACACCAATGGAGATGTGGCGCATGCGCCACAGACCCAATTCTGCTTCACTTTGGCCTCCTTCTCCAGGCCCTCCTGCTCAGCTCGGGGTCAAACTCCACCCCGAGGATCTTGACTCCCTCATGGGGGACCAAGACCCCCAGGGCCTCTTGGTCCGAGTTCACCCACGGCCAGGCAGGTGCTCGTGCTCATGTTAACCTTGGCCCCTGCTGCCACCTCGTAGTGCTCTCTCTCTACAGCACACTTTTTCCGGCACAGGATGTTCAGGTCATCCGTGTAGGCCAGGACCTTGGTCTCTTCCTTGCTTCCTCTGGGAATCAGGCCTCCATGCATCGCAGGGTCCTGCCCGATGTGCTGGGCCAGGGGTTCAATGACACAGACAAAAATGATTGGGGAGAACAGGCAGCCCTGGCAGACCCCCAACTCGATCACGATCCGTGCTCAAGAACCCTTTGACCAGCAGCCGCTGCTAACATCTGTATACAGCATCCTTATCCAGCTGGTGAAGGTCGAGGTGTGACACTGTTGTAGGCCTTTTCCAGGTCCAGGTTCAGCACTGCCCACTTCTCCCTTCTGTCCTGTTCCAGCTGGAGCGTGTCCCTCCATTGCAGCAGGGCTCCGTGGATCTGGTGTCCTGGTACCACACACAACTGGTCCTCATGGATGATAGCAACTAGGACAGATTTAAATTGCTCCTGGAGGAAGTGACAGGGAGTCAGGCTAATGACAAGGGAGGTGGCACAATACAAACACCTGACTAAACATCAGGGGTCCTAGACAGCCCGCTTTGACCTGTTTGTGGCAATGCAGGTACCTCCTGATGTACAGCACATTAAGCTCGAGCCAGCTGTCTGTGTTGAAATGTTTCTGAGCAAACTCCAGTCCTACTACCAAAAAGTGGTGGGAGAGGATGCAGCCAACTCCACCTGGAAAAGGGACACTTGGCACAGGCTGTTCAAAGTCCCCCCAGGAAAGGAAGTGGACAGGAAGAACGAAGGGGACAACGACACAGCTGAGCCTGGAGACAGCGAGGAGGACAACAATTGGATCAGTAGCAGTGGAAGCAACAGCGACAAGGACAGTGAATGAACTGAGAAGGGAAACCCCAAATCAGAGCTTGAATGAAGGGAGTGTGCGGTTATTGTAATGGGTGCACAGGTTTCTAAAAGGTGGTTTTTATAAAAAAAACAAAGGTGCGATGGAAGTCTATGATAGAGGATGTGTGTATATACACACACACACACACACACACACACATCTCTATATACGTACATACATACATAGATACATTTTAATAATAAAAAAAGGAGCTGACATTTCTCATTTACCTGGGTGTGTACCAGGACAAGCCTCCTTCAGATTTTCCACATCAGTTGGAGGAGAAATCAAGTCTGCATATTTGATTCCCCACTTCTCCAGATGGAGGAAAGGGTGAAAGGATGCAGCAGAGTCCACATATTTTGCAGGGTGAAGTTTCTAGACACCTTGCAAAGCTGAGGTAACCTTTGTGAAGTGACCAGGATGGCAGAGTGCCACAGCAAAGGGCTGCATGGGGCTGCCTAGGTGCTCCAAGTCAGGGCTGCCCCCAAAGGGTCAGCATGGGGCCCACAAGCTCCCACCCCACCCCACCCCACCCCCAGCTGCGCCTGCCCCAGTGTAGCTTATTTCAAGGGGCTCTGCATCTCTGATGAGCTGAATGGACCCCAACAAGCTCCAGCTGATGAGGCAGCACCCTGTCCAAAAATAAATAAAATAAAGGCAAGGCCTTGAGCAGCACACCCTTAACTGGCAAGCTGCTGCAAATTAAGCAGTTTCTTAATTCTGTGAACCACTCAGAAACCAAAGACCCAGGTTCCAGCGTACTTGCCAGCTCCACAAGAAACCATCAGACTGCCTTGGAGGGACACAAAAAGTTACCTATAGAAGACAAAATGACAGGAGAGGGGAAGACAAGTTTGGATTTCCAACGACTTGACACCTGTGTTCCAGAACAGTGGCAGGGCCTGGCTGGCTCTCAGGCCCGCAGCTCAAGGAGTCACGCTCTTGTTTAAGAACTGGCACAACAGGATTCCTGTTCCCCAGGATTATACTTTGAGTTCAAGCAAAACAGTCACATATAAAACATTTCCCCTCCCAACACTTACAAAACACTAACAGTCGTCTGTTCAAATTTTCAGTTTGGGGCAGACACCAAGCCCACACTGCAGTCCCCAGAAAGGAACAGCTCAGAAAACTGAACATGTGACCAGAGTTGGTTTTGC